CGCAAACGCCATGTTTTAGACGGAAACATAGACTCGAATTGAGAAATTTGTGACAAGCTACGACATAACTGTAATTTAAATTTTTAGAGATTGATAATTTAGTACATTTGAAAAAATTTAATCTATTCTTCAACTAAAAGTACGAATAAAAATATGTGAAAGTGCATATTATGTCTGTAGTTGCCGTAAATAAATTAAACCGGGTAAATTTATCTATGCACATAAGATAAAATATCACTGAACAGCACCAATTCCGACTAAAACATGGCTGATTCCGTCTGCGCGAACGAGATGCGCGTACTTATTTTTTTTTAGCAGAGTGAGCGTTCTGATTGTTTATTATTCTGCGCTTAAGATATCCTAAATATTGTTTAAACGATAAAATAATTAAACTATAGTCATACGTTCATATACAAAGTGTTCTAAATAAGGAAAAAAATATTCTTCTTCTTCATGTACCATGTCCTTTCAGAACGTTGGTTACCATGATAGATATCTTAATTTTATTCACTGCCACCCTAAATAGCATGCTTGTGTTAACACCATACCAATCTCGCAAGTTCTTTAACGATGAGGTTCTTCTTCGTCCTTGACTGCGTTTGCCTGCTATTTTTCCTTGCATGATATTTTGTAGCAACCTATATTTGGGACCCTCTCATTACATGTCCGAAACACTCCAGTTTTCAATGTTTGGTGCTTTTTATGATCTCAGTAGTCTTGCTGAGACATTCTAGTATTGTGGAGTTTCGAATCTTCTCCACCCAGGAAACTTTTTAAATTCTTCTATAGCACCACATTTCGAAACCCTCAAGGCGATTTAGATCGATTTTATTTACAGTCCAGGACTCCATGATTACTTGTCATATTACCTCTTTGTATTCTTTGAATAAAATTAATAAAACTATCTATTGTTTGAATATTTTGCACAGTTACTGTTTGTACAACATCGGCATCAAAATGTCTTGATACGTTTAAAACTGTTTCATCCTCTCTAAGTGGTGGTTCTAAATATTTTGCAACCGTTATCAGTTTTAATGCATAATCTACCATATTTGATCTTAAATTATGATTAAACTTTCCAAAATAGAGAACTTCCCTAAATCTAGCTTCCTCTAATTCACCCCAATAATAATTTAAAAATTTATTTTCAAATGTTTGAAAATTATCCTAATCATTCTCAATACAGGCAAACCAAGTTGCCGTATTGTCACTTAATGTTATTCTAATATAATCTTTAATATTATTCACTAATTTTAATTTATGTTTTAAACTATTTATGTATACTCTAGGATGCAAATTTTTTATATTACCAGAGAATTTAATCCCAGTGTCATTTGTTAAATTTAAGTAAGGGGTCTCTATGTCTCTCATTTGTGAAATATCATCCATTCTCTGTTCCACATTTCTTATTTGATTACTATTTATGTGGATATTTTGGTGCATATCGTCTAATTTTTCTTCTGTCTTTCTCCTGTCTTCGTTAATTTTAACTTCTAAGTTACATTTCTGCAACTCTAGTTTCTGTTCTATATATATCATCTTATCTTGAATAATCCTATTTACTTCTGTTCTCTCATTTTCTATCCTTTTCTTGTAGTCACGCCATATATTTTTTATTTCATTTGTTACTTTGTTCTCTGCGGCTTCAAGTTTTTTATCTATTTGTTTTACAATTTTATTATTATTATCTTCTATTTTCTTTTCTAATTTTTTATAATTCTCTTCCATTTTTTTCGAATTCTCTTGTAATTTCTGTTCCATTTTTTTCATGTCTTCTTTGACTTCTTTTGAATTCCCTTCCATTTTTTTCGTATTCTCTTCCATTTTTTTCGAATTCTCTTCCATTTTTTTCGAATTCTCTTCCAATTTCTGTTCCATTTTTCGTATGTCTTCTTTGACTTCTTTCGAATTCTTTTCCAACGTCTTGTTCATCTGGATCATTATTGACATCAGAGCTGCCATATTGACAGTTTCTCCTCCTTCTTGATTCATTTCCACTGTATCTTGTGGAACTTGGACTAAACTCTCCTCTTGTACAGCTTGTGTTTCTATTTCCACATCTTTTTCATTCTTTTTGTTTCTTGTACCTTTTTTTCCTTAAGACATATTGAGACTTTACTTGTTCAAATTTAATCAAAAATAAAATTGATACATATATTTTTTTTTTATAAAAATTAATTTAATTATATGAGAGCACTTATCTTCCCAAACTAATTCTTTTAAATGGAGAGCCCCGCGGTGGGCGCCAAAATTGTTATGATGTTTTGTTTGTATATGATTAATATTAAATTATATTAAAAAAATTTGGAACCTTTCTATCACTGAATGCCTAAAGTTTTCCAAAATGAAAGTTATAATCACCACTAAATATCTTCTTAATCAGCCTCGGTTATCCTTGTATTTGTGAAATTGCATATAGATATTATAATTTAAAATTCTTGTAATTTCCATATAATATACTATACTCCTGTATTGAACTATCTATATTGAATTAATTTACTCTCATACTCTCCAAACTGTATCTGTCTTAATGAATTCTTCTAAGTTAATCCTTTCTTCTAATTTAATTTAATTATAACTGTCTTGAACTAACTTTCTTGATAAATCTAATTTAATGACTTAATTGTAACTGACTGACTGACTTCATCTCACTTAATCCTTTTTTCTAACTTAATTTAACTTAATCACTTCATGAATTCTTCTAACTTATTTTAACTTAATCACTTCAGGAATTCTTCTAACTTAATCAATTGTAACTGACTAACTGACTTCTTCTTACTTAATTAATACCTTCTACTATCTTAATAATTGACTGTAACTGACTTAGTAACTGTAACTTAATAATTGACTGTAACTTAATGCCTGACTGTAACTTAATGCCTGCCTGATCCAAATTACCTCGTATTTATATGCTTTCTTGTTCCAGACTGTTCTAGCAATCAACCATGTTCGAAACTCTTCATCTCATCCATATATGAAAGTTCTGGAATACTCGACTATGCAAATAGGGCTAACTGCCTTGTATATTGACGTTTTCCAGAAAATTCTAGTGAAATCCTTATGGACATTTAGGCATTGCAGATCAGAATTCACTATTATATATATATATATATATATATTATATATATATATATATATATATATATATAATATTATATATATATATATATTATATATATATATATATATACTAAATGTCTTACACTAATATACTACTATTTTACATCCGTAATTATATTTAAATTAACATCCCAAACTAATATTTAACCCCATTTTTCATCCGCAACCAAACAAATGTCAAATAACACGGTGTATATTTGGTTGCCTATGCACATGGCTCAATTAAATATGTTTATAATTAAAAAAAAACTTTTAACTACGATGTATTCTGTCCACATTGGTGGAAAAGAAATCTTATTTATCCAAATCGAATTGAACCAGTCTAACAGGGCTCTCTTATGGCCTAAGGGCATTTTATGCAACATATTGTATGAAATGTTATCCGCCCCGGGAGATTTATTATTTGTTGATTTAATGCATTGATCGAGTTCCCATAATTGAAATAGTGATTGTAGAAAAGAAGTGTCTCTTTTTACGGTAGCTATTTGTTGAGTAATGTTGTTTTCAACCCATGGGGGCGAGATTTTTGTGTGGAATTCGTTTATCCAGTCTTCTTCGGGGTTTATTTGGGGTTTATTTACTTGTTTTCGGTTTTTATATCGGTTAACTTTGTTCCACACTTCTTTAATTGGTGTATTTTGATTTAGATTTTGGCAATAATTAATCCAGCTTTTTTTCTTAGTTTCTTTGAAAGTTTTTTTAGCTACTGCATCAAGTCTTTTATATTCTGTTAGATTATTACGATATTACGAGCATGTGTGTAGATTAAGTAAGCTGGTTTTCTTGCTTTAGCAGCTATGTTACAGGTTTCATTCCACCAGTCCTTCGAACAATGATTTCTCTTTTGTGTGTTTGATTTTTGTAAGGGAATTGCTTTGTTGGCAGCTTTGTTAATATTGTCGATAATGCCCATTAGTGATGATTTTGGCTCTGTAGCTTCAAGTGTAGCGGTGTATACATCCCAATTAGCAGCCTTGGGTCTCTATATGTTATGTTTTGTCTGTTTAATTTGCGCAAGCGGGCTATTCCTTCCAAATTGTATGTGTATTGGTAAGTGGTTAGAGCCATAAGGTTCTTCTAAAGTAGACCACGTAATTAGGTGCGTCAGATCCTGTGTACAGAGGGTCAAGTCTACAGCTGATTTCTTATTGTTTGCTAATGTAGGTGATCCGTCGTACAAAATTACTAGGTTGCATTGTTCGATAGCTTCCAAAAGAATCTTGCCATAGATATCGTCATATCCATCATTCCAGGCCAAACTGTGTGCCTTAAAGTCGCCCCCAATTATGAATGGTTTTGGAATTTGTTCCAAAAAATTGATCCACTGTTGTAATGATATTCTAGTTCTCGGTTTAAAGTATACTGAAACGAAGTAAATTTTTTTATGTATAAATGGAAAACTAACCGAGATACAAGTATGCTCAAAGTTTATTATAGTTGGAGTTGAGACTTCTTGGTGTATTAAGTCTGATTTTAATAAAATGGCTGAGCCGCCGTACCCGGCGTCCCGGTCACAGCGAATATTGTTGAAGCCTTAAAAATTATAATATTTTTCTGCTTTAAACCATGTTTCCGATAGAAGTGCAACGGAGTAGTTGTCCCTATCTAGTAGATATTCTAAGTTAGTTTTATTAGAAACTGCTGAACGGCAGTTCCATTGAAGAATACTTATTGCATGGTTGAGGTCTGAGAATGTGATGACATGTTTCCATTTATAGTTAATTTGTTTTCGAGTTCTTCCTTATTTATATTTATACTTTTTGTTACTAAAACTTTTGTGACAATTTATATAACCAATTTTAATATTGAATTTATCATGCTCAGGTCTGAAGGAGATGCAACTGAATTATTATTAATATTTCCTTTATAGTTAATACTGTCTAATATTCCCACGTAGGTAATTGAGATCTAGGGGAAGCTATAATTTCATTCTGCAAAATTAATGTTGGATCTGGACTATTTGGTCTCTGTCTTTTAAATGTTCTAGAATTTGTACTATTTGAATTATTGTAAAATATGTTATTTGTTGACATTTGGTTAATTGAATTTGATGGGAGCTGGGTGGGTATATAATTATTGGGATTTAATGGAGGGAAAGTTTTGAGGCAGGAAATGTTTGTAGTTTGTTCCGTATTAATGGTTGGAGTTTCTGGGGAACTGTCTGTTGGCGTCTAGATAACTAATATTACTGGAAGACATAGCGTCTTTTACAAGTTTTTGACGTTGAAATTCCTGACACGCGCTCAAGTTTGTAGTAAAATGATTCCCCGAACAATTAAAACATTTTGGAGTTATATCGGTCGTTTTACACTCTTTTGAGTTGTGTGATTCCTGACATTTATCGCACCTAGCCCTGCTCTTACACTGTCCCCCTGTATGTCCAAATCTAAGACAATTAAAGTATAATAGCACCTTTTGTTTATATGGCTCGACTTTATTCAGTACCATGTTAATTGTTACATATTTTGGTAGTACTGTAGCATTTTCAATTTCATTGATTCTTTGAAGTATATTGAAATCTCCTCGTATATGTAATATCTTGAAATCGCCTTATATATGATTAAAAAATAAAACGAAGAATTTTTTCCATGTTTGTTAGTTCGTATCTTTCAAGTTGAAATACGCTAAAGTGTTTCCAATAATTGTATTTGCATTGCTGGATGTTAATAAAACCATTTCAGAGTTGTTTATTATTTTAAAGATATTTACTTCGGCAATTTCTTTTAATGTTTTATTCGAAGTCGTCTTATAATTTTTATACGTCGCAAAAGGATATCTACGTCGTTTCGTTGTGTTTTGCTATTTCAGCGTTTTGTTTATTTTCAAGTTATATGAACGAATTTTTAAGTTCGTCATTCATGCTTGGGTCGTCGTAGTGTCAAGTATGGATCCAATTCATACTTGGGTGTCAGGTATGGATCCGAATTCGTCGTCAAATTTGTAGTTTTCTGTTTTTGGCTCCTTTTGGGGAAATAAGTAGCAGTAGTGGTGGATTTTTATCTATTATGAAGTGACCGGCATTAATTTGCCAAAATTAGTGGAGTTTTCGCTCGAGATTTTAAGATGTTTGAAAAGTCTAGTTCCTGTTGAAAAGTTGAACAAGTTTAGTTTCTGTTTTTTTTTTGAGAATTCCCGTTTTTCCAAGTGTGCTAATTCCAGCCCCCAATGGATAAAGCTCTTCGCAGATGATGTCCGGATAGATACTCCAGAGATGTAACAATTTTTTTCTTCGTTAAGTGGAATTATGTGAATCCAGGTAACTGTTTATTGTTTGTTCAATTTCAAAGTAAAGACATATATTTTTTTAGAACAATAATTGCTTTCGTTAAAATTTAGAAATTGAAACATTTAAAAATTGTAATGCGGAAACATTTGTAAGTTTTATGTAGTATCTCCAACTCCTGGAGTTTGTAAGCGGATGACACACGTAAGTTTTTTATATTCTTGTATTTCTCCATGTTGTAACTGTTTGTGATGACACAAAAATAAATGTTAAATTTTGTTTTCTTAACATTTTGTTTATTTTTTTTTGAGCTAACCCTTTTTTGAGTTTTATTTGAAAAAGATATGTTTTTGATGTTTTATAATTATTTCCCTAGTTACAACTAGTGGTTGTAATAGGTATAATTAGGCACCTCAAGTGGCGCCCTATATTAAATTCCTTGAGGTGTATCCTGTTTATTTTTATTTTGTTTATCCCAAGAGATTAATGACCTCTTTATTTCATTTTTTGTAGTTGCCCCAATCCAACCCCCTTTATCTTTTACTTATCCATGACCCCAGCTCTCCTACCAAACCCTGAGTGCCGCTCGCACAAGTAGCGATTATTTTGCTTGCCATATCTCAACCCCCTTAGTTTCTTCCCCCAATTTTCTACTCCCATGTACTTACCCTGAGGTAAGCAAAATATCTTCGTTACAATACCTGTGACCTAAAACTAACTACACATGTTTTTGTTGGAATATATTGAGTTCCGTTTTCATCTACTTGTCTCCTATTTAATCTTTTGACTTGAATGACTTCAAATTTACAGTATACATCGTACATTTTGATTCTGTCTTCAACATACTCCACTGAAAATTTCGTGGAAATATCTCTTATTACGCCCTGTCTAACTACAAGAAACTTAGGAATGCATATGTCTAAATTATTTTTTGTAAATATTGCTTCATTTTTTTTTTAGATATGATATAGTTGGCCGATTTATAATCTCTAAATTTTATACGTTCTTTATTTCTCCCTACTGCGTCAATGCTCACAATTTTTGCATCAATTTTCTTAAAATTTGTGATAATAATGTCACCTATCCTTAAAGCGTTTAACCTGCCTTTAAAATCGGGTCAATTATTTTCCAAATACACGTAATGAGGTCCCAAGTCGTTTTGTCGGTAAAGAAATTTCTCCCTTTTTTTTTTAATTCTTTGTTTATGGTATTTGTTATTGAAGTGTGTACATTAGCAAAGTCATTATCGATAATGGGTTTATTATTAACAAGTTTTGTGGTACTTATCTGTATAACCGGAACCAGATTTTGAAATCCTAACAGCTCCTCCTTTGAAGATGATGCATATTATGTATCCATTTGGGTTTCTAAAACATTGTTATCGGAGGCATCGCCTCCGCTAACTGCACTCAAGTTTTTAATGTCTTTCCGAATTTCGCTTTTTTATTTGATGTAATTAATTTACTTTTAAAGTTCCCGAAATATTTATTTACATAGCTAATTTATAAACACCGATTTTAAAAACAAGCTTCTTTCTTATGCACGTCTAACTACCACGACGAATGAAAGCTGAATGATGACAGATATTTGGAAAGTATCTTTGAATCATTATCATTCATTCCAAAACCATTGTATTCATAGGAAAGCGGTTTTCACCAGTCGTAGAACATAAAAGCAATGAATATAGAAGCACACTCAATGGTTGTTTTTGCATATGCTGTTTAGGTATATTTTACTTTGTTACTTCTGTTCCCGTAACACTAGGGAGCGCCGAGCGCAACAAACTACTACTGCTTCTGAAATAGGAAAGAGTACTGTTTATTTGGCATTGGAAATACTTAGCCTTAAATATTTGCATTTTATAAAATTCAAGAACAAATTCTACTCATGCACTTTATTTTTCTTGTAGAAAATAAAATATTATTTTAACTTTTAATAGTCTCTAATACCTGAATTTTTTTGAAACCATAAACAATATTGTGATTCAAAATTTAATTTAAATGTGTAGAAATCTATGAATAATATAATAAAGTTTATGCAGTCGGCATCTACTGGAGTATTTTAAAGTATAGTAACCGTGACCATTTCTCCAATTTGAAATTGCTTCTATATGCGTCTATATTCGTTGATAAAATTGTACTAACAAACATTAGTTTAAAAACTAAATTTATTTCTTTCATACATAAACGTTTACCTTTTCATCTGCCTCTTCCAAAGTTTTATAATATTCCTTTCTGATAGCTTGAAATTCTGCTTCAACTGACTGAGTTAAATCATTAGGACATCTTTTACAATCACTGAAAAAGTTTTTAACCCTTTTTTCGAGTTCGTCCATGTTATCTAAAAATATTTTAAAACACATTTGTTCACTAAATTTCAAATATTTTAAACTTATTTTAACAAAATTGTACTTCTTTGTTCTACCTTGTGGTGTCATTAAACAGGTTTATATAAAGTACGTTTACTTTACATCTTTTTTATTGGTTGAATTATCAGAAGGTCAAGAATTGTCCTCTGGGTTTGAATCGTGTTTCTTATGGGAGGTCCTATATGGGGGTTCATTTCAATTCACTGTTCTTATACATGGCTTCTTTAGGGCCAGGCGAATGCTGTTGCTCATGATAAATCAAGTACAATAGCCGGAGGAGATCAGTAAAACGTAAATATATGAAAAGCACGCTTGCATGAATGTTAATTTAAGGGAGTAGGGAAAGTTGTTTCTTTATTAAAAATGAAAGTAACTATAAATTGCCGAAAACATCGTTTAGGATCTTGAGGTCCTCTTCGGGATTTGAAATGAATTTATTTTTTGTTGTTAGAATGGCACATTGGTAGAAAGGGTGCTTTTTTCTTGTCTTGGAATTGACAATTATGAGAAGAACGAGAAAGTGTACCCTGAGGGGTGATCTCGAGACCATTTGCGTACTCGTTCGGAAGTTCGTCTATACAACTATGTATCTGTGAATTTTCAGTGAAACGACGTCATAAAAATCTTCTTCTTTTTGTTGTTTGGGGATTGGAAATTATCAAGACTATTTTGATCGTATTTACAACTGATCTAAAGAGCTTATTCGTGGTTCAGCCAAATTACTCTCTTAGATTTCTCATCCAGGTCAGTGTTCTGCGACCTTTTCTTTCTATTTATCCCTGTATTATATTTTGAAGTAAGCGTATTTTGTCGTCACATTGTGTGGTCCAAATACAGCTCGCCCTCGATAGTCCGACAGGTTCGGGACCGACGTAATGTCGGATTACCAAAAATGTCGGATTATGGAAAATGGCTATTCTGTAATGAATATGATTGCCACAAAGATATAACCGTCATTTTAAACAACGTATTATTCATCGTTAAATTCAAGGGACATATTAAAAACACAGAATAAAGTGAACAACATTTTAATTTATGTACATAGACTTAAAACTACATACAAAAAAGAGCACAATATGTATTTACTTGTTGAAAAAGTCCGTGATTGCCTTCTGTTTCTTTTTTTGAAAACAGTCCACCATTGCTGCCTCTTGCAAACCTTTTAACACTAAAATCTTGTTCATGTCCACATCTCTCTCTTGGCACCAACGTAACAAAGTGTTAGCTGCCGATACAGCTTCATCACAGCTGACGGTGAAGGTTTTTTCTGGCGCTGCGTCCTCGATCACGTTGTCATCAACTGCTGTCACTTCTTGAATTATATCTGCGTCTGTCATGTCAGCATCAAGGTTATCTTCTATGATCCATGTTCTAAGCTCTTCAACCGATGCGGGGGCAAGTTGCACTTCATTGCAAAGTTCCAATGTAGCCTCTAAAACGCGTTCTGAATCGCTGTTGGATGTAGGATTATACGTTGTAAGACATGGGTTGTTAGGCCATACATTTCTCCACGATTTTATCAGTGTTATGCTTTTTACTTGCTGCCAAGCATACGCAGCATTCAAAATGGCGTCTTTAATGTTAAAAGCTTTCAAAATCGCTGGAATATCAGCATCAGGTTGACTGACAACATCCATAAGAATGCGATTCTTATAGTGAGCTTTGAGGGTTTTTATCACGTTTTGATCCATGGGCTGAATTAAAGCTGTCGTATTTTTCGGTAGGTACATAACTTCAATGTAGCCATCAGCAGTTTTAATTTTCAATTCATCAGCATCAGGATGTCCTGGTGCATTATCCAGTAAAAGTAGGGCTTTCATAGGTAACTTGTTCTTCTTTAGTTCAGCCTTAACTTGTGGAACGAAGCTCTTGGTGTACCAGTCACGAAAAATTTCTTTTGTCACCCATGCGCGACTTTGCGACTTGTAAGTTACTGGCAGAGATTCAACCTTTACATTTTTGAATGCTCGAGGGTTTTTTGATTTTCCTACAACAAGCAGTTTTAATGCATGAGTGCCTGATGCATTCGCACACACCATAAGCGTGAGTCGTTCTTTTTGCAATTTTCTTCCTGAAACTTTTTTTTCCTCGCCACTTAAAATGTTTCTGCCGGGAGCTGTCGCCAATTCAATCCGGTTTCATCTGCGTTGTACAGTTGCTCAGGAACTAAACCAAGCTCAGTAATTTTGTTGTCTAACATTTCAATGAAGGCATCAATCTCAGACCTGTCAGCAGACACCTTTTCACCACACATCTTCATAAATCGAATGCCATGGCGTTTTTTAAAGTTCTCGAACCATCCATGACTAGCACGAAAGTCATTTTTCCTCGTTATTTCTGTGTAGAAACATTGAGCCTTTTGTTTAAGTATGTCTCCGGATATAGGGATATTCCGTGTGCGTTGTTGTTTAAACCAAATAAACAGTGCTTCTTCCACCTCAGGAAACTCGCTTGTTCTGAGGGTTTTTCTGTTTAAAGGGTTGTCTTTAACAGACTTCATGAACCCTTCAATTTTTCCTTTATTCTTCATAATATCATAAATCGTAGGCCGTCCAATTTCATAAAATTTCGCTACTGCAGTCGGCGTTTCACCGCTATCTATACGTTTAATAATTTCCCACTTCTCGGATATTGTTAATGTTTTGTGTTTCCGTTTAACACCACTCGTGCTTGCCATTTTGCCATTTGTACGCGAACACTTGAACTAACTGCGCAGGGAAAATGAAATGCACGTGCACGTCCGCTACGAAAGTCAACTGAACACTGAACACGGAACTTGTCTCCCGTAGCGGCGCGTCGGATTACCGAGTACGTCGGATTTCAAAGTGTCGGACTAGTGAGGGAGGGCTATATTCGAGTTTTTTCGCTTTATAGTTAACATAAACCGGCTCTTTTCCTATGAGTTGTGACTCATCAATCCAACTAATCTTTATTATTAAACGGTAGCATCACATGTCGAAGCTTTTAATATTTTTCATATCGTTCGATTTAAAAGTCCAGGCCTCTACTTCGTAAAGCAGTCAAGATAACGATAGTACAGACACAATGCTGATGCTTAACTCTACCATAGTAGCACAATTGTAGCGAGTGTTTCATATTTTCAATGTATACCTTTGCGGGTCTGCAAAATCTCCTTTTTTGATTACTTTGTACACATTAGCTTCGGAAACTTTTGTCAAAATACTACATAATTATAGTAACTTTTAATATACGATTCATTATAACTACTGTCATTCGTATTTATTATCTGTCACCAAATTAAATTAAACTAAATTACTTACAATTTACAAAAAATTAAGGTAAAAACGCCTTCTACTCATAATACTACAAACAATTATGTTCTCTGTTTTATGAAACCCCTGTCAGTGCGTTTATGAAACTGACTTACACATACAACAAAAACTACCAGAACAATGGCGTTGTTGCCAGTTACATCGCCTTAAGGTGCGACTACGTTGATGATCTCTGACATTATCTACCGTTAGAGACATATATAAACTACAATAATGAAGATAACTTCAAGTTTAATCATACACGCTGACAACGTTACATTTTCCCTAAAACCCAAGTTTTTTTAGTGAAAAATTAATTGAAAAGCAGCAAATAATAATAAACTATAGTTTCATAAAACATCTTTTGACGCGGGGACTCTGTATGTAGACTGATCTAATCAATATAAAAATAAATGGACTGCCGATGTGAGGACTATGTTTTCTGATCGATGGTGTATGTTATAAAGAATTAAGGGTTGCTTATTTTAATGCGGATTTCACAAATGGGAAGATATTCCTCGAGGTAGATGGAGCTAATGAAAAGTTGTAGGATAAATGGACCGCAACCAATCATGTGCTGTGATACGGATGCGCACCACTTGACCTGGAGTAGCATAATACCAATAAAATATATAAGTACTAACTATAGTTGGTTATAGAATATGATTCAAACCAGTGTTTCCAAATCCTTTTTGCCAATTAGATCACTTACCGATATTCTTGAAAATTTAAATATTTATTTTTGAGAATTTAAAATACATGGAAAGATAAATTAATACAAAAAGAATGCTTGGTATTACTAAGGAGAGGGATGGACCTAATGCGCTGATACCAATTTTTCAAGACGTGGCTTCAAATTTGGTAGTTGGAGTTTTAAACCTCCATGTTTAACGATTTGCAATATATTTCTTTTTTTTTCGTAAACAGGTTAGTAACCACAATACAACCCCTTTCCTCTAGGCAGGAAGATAGAAAAGGTATATTTTTTAAGGCAGTCCATAAAGCAGCATAAGAAAAAGGTAAAGCTTTCTGCACCCCGGAATATTGATACCAGTTTCTGAACTCCACCCTCATGGAACTTCAACTACTCTAAAGTATATTCACTTGAAAGAAATGTAGATTATTAACACAAGAAACGCGTTATCAATTATTGCGTACGCTCTAGAAGTGCTGAAAAGGTATCTCATCATGATTCTGGCTTTACAACCCTGCGTGGGACCTAGCCTCCTCAAGAATTTCTCTCTAGTCGTTCCTATCCATCTGTCACAGCCATTTGATAATTATTTTGTTTGTATACCGCTTTGAATGCTGAAGTTACAAAATCTCTTATTAAAATTCAAAGAAAGCTTTAGCTATAAAACCTTTTTAAATCATAACAATCTTTCCACTTGTCGGCAATAATTTTTATATTTTATCGCCATCACTTCAATTTATTTTGTTTATTTTAACGCGTAAGTGGTGTAATAAAAATTGATGAGGTTCTTACAGTTCACTAAGACTCTGAGCGCTGAACGGTCGTTGTATCCGTGGCGTAATATTTTTTAATTTTGTGTATGTATAGATTGATGCTTATAAGTGATAATTTTGTTACATCATTTTTTTAAAAGCACGCGATATGTTTTGTTGGGTACTGGCAAATATAGATTTTCAATAATTTTGAAGTTTAATTTTGTAATATACGAACCGTGTATTTTATACGC